ATGAAACAACTAGACATGCCAATACACACATAGATAAGCTGCCACTAACGCAACACTTACCTCCACGGGGTGCACCCCGGACAACGTATTCTCATACGGCAAAAAAAGTCCATAAACTGGCAGTTGACTTCTGACTTTAGTCTGCCATCACCCCACTGTATGTCACATTCGACCCCTTCCACAATACTCATCTTTTCCCTGCCTTTGTGTCTGTCTGTCTGTCGCCTTTCCATCTGTGAATCACTCTTCCGTTCCCCCTCTCGACTTTATGTGACGTTGCTGCTCCTCCCCTCTGTGAAGCCCGAAATCAGCTAAGGGGCTAATGATAACTATCAAAACGCCTGCCATTTGTTATAAATAAATAAATATTCATAGATCTCTCACCCCAAATAAGCAGGTGCACATTTCAATGGAATACGACCTAGTTACATGCAAGAAGCAATCACTGAAATTCCAGGCAAAAGCCTACAGTCTCACTCGTTATTTTTTGATGAGGTTTCGGGACTTTTCTTTTCAGATTGAGAGAGTTAACATTTTAAGATTACTTAGAATGCTACTTCAATGCACTTGAGTGCACGTTTAGTCGAAGAGGACAGATGTGCGTTAGCATACCCACTTCACTGCAACCCCACCCCACCCAACCCTTCGCTCCCTTTAAGGCAAGAGAGAGAGAGACTAAAAGGCCTAGGGCATCGATTGGCCTTGAACTGGACTAACCATGGTTTAAAATTTATAGACCAGGTGAAAGCTAAATTAGACGTTTCGGGGGAGGGGGGTGGGTATCAAGTGGAAATTGAAACGAATAAAAGTCAATAAAAAAACCAGCCCCATCCTAAATGAACCATGATCAACTTTACTGTTAAGATTATGACAAAGTACAAGATGATTAGAAGATGAGTGAATGAATTGTAGTGGCAAATTCGACTATCCAATTTAAATTCGATAGTCCCACATATATCACTAGAGTTAAACTTCGCAACACGAAGTAATGAACGACACATTCACCAAATATTGTACAATAATCAAATGAACTATGGAGTTGTTTAGTATTATTGAGATATATCTATTTTTCCCCATTTGTCTTTTGTTAGA